GGTTCTTCACTAGGAAGTTCATGAAAGTTAGGAAGCATTTGAATAGTTTGTGCTTTAATTTCATAATGATGTGCTCTAAATGGTGGCAATTGAATGCATGTGGGTGCATTGTATTCATTAGGCACATAGTGATCTCTCAAAGCAAAAGGTGGATTAGCTACTTGAGGTGCAATATGAACACCTTGGTTATGAATTCCTTGATTAATGACGGGAGGTTGTGGAGCATACATTGGCCTTGGCATTCCATATGGAACTTGGCCTTATTGTTGTGGTGGTTGGATGAATGGCCTTGGCATGCCCAATGGTACTTACATGTTTTGATTGTGTACATTGGGATGAAGGATACCTTGTTGGTCTATGTGACCAAGGTCCTCAATATGGTCATCATTATGGTCATCCATTGATAGATTGATTCTATTTGAACTTCCTCTTCCCCTAGGATTTCTAACGATAGATTCAAGATGCAAATCAAGAGGGGCAAGAGTTGGTCTCAATGAACGACGCCCATGTATGCACAATACAAAACACAACAAACACAAAGAATGACAAACACTATTCCTTCACAACAATGCAATTAGACTTCTTCCACAAACACTTAACCCATATTCCTATGCTTTAACAAAGATGATGCAAAGAACAATAAAATAGCCTCCACGCGGGCTCACGATTTATCTAAGAATTGAATTACAAGCCTCCACGCGAGCCGACGATTTAACTAAGGAATTGAGTAAAGAAAGTCTCACAAAGGTCCTTTAGCACTTCAACTCCAAATTTTAAAGCTTAGCTTAGCAAATTTTTTTTTTAAGTTTTTAGCATTTTTCCTTTCTTTGCTTGCTTGAATTGAATGCTCAATGGCTCCTTTGCTTGCTTCTTCTCCAACAATGCACCTAGTTAAGTAAGAACAACACAATAAGTAACCAAAAAGAAAAATAAAAATAAAGTAAAAACACGATCAAAAGAGTACTAATCCTAATCAATTCCACAAATCCGACGTTGCCAAATCTAATCAACAAATCCCCGGCAACGGCGCTAAAATTTGACGCGCGATAAGCCGTTCCTACACGCCAAAATTGATGTTGTGAACGTGCGGTTCAAGGAAAGCCTTTTTGGGTCAAGTTTAAATTTATAAAAACCACTACCAACACTACTACTAACGTAGCAAGAGTGAGTACGGATCGTCCGAAGGGATTATGGGGATTGAGCAATGTCGGAGTTGATTGTGGAATCGCTATTAGGGTTAGTAGGTCGAGTGATCAAACAATTGGTTGGTTGATTGATTAAAGAGCAACTAAATTAAACTAAGTAATAGCAAAAGAGTGCAATTAAGAGTAAGTAAGAGAGAGAAGAGTCTTGGGGTTTAGAGATCACCACCAAGCAATGCATTTCTATATTATTGAAAAGTGATTAATGAGGGCAATGAGGGTGTTGTAATATTGGTGTGTGTGTATTTGGTTGATTCAACAAGTAAGGATGACTAGCTAAGCATATATTGTCTAAACATCATGTGAAAGGCACAATATATCTAAGTAATGAAGCATATATTGTCTAAACAACATGTGAAAGGCACAATAAATCAAAACAAGTCATTAATCCTTTCATTAGGCTCACAATCCAAATACAACACAAGATTAGAGACATATGTTACTTGTATTCAAAAGCTTGGAACATCAAACAACAAGCGTGGATTGTCCTCCCATTTAACATTACACTACAACTACACTACATCAAAACTACTAGCATGAAAATAAACTAGGGGAGAGGCACAATCCATCAAGAGATAAGCATGAACCATCAAGAGAATCACAAAAGCATTCCTTTAAGCACTATATTTTGACAATCTCTAAATCCATGGCATTAATACACATAGACATGCATCAACAACACAAAATCTAGAGACAAGAATATGAACATCAATTCTAGCATACATAGACATATAAATAGAATGAAATAATCAATTGGAAGCATTAAACCACACAAATCATTGATTAAACAAGATCTATATATATCAAAGTGTTAAAACATTAATTACAACACTAATCCCTCAATAATACATAAGATTAAGATATAGAAAGCATGCTTGGGGCTAACTCTAACCCCAAGAGGATGTCTAGCCACTCATGGTGGGATGCTCCAACCCTCAAGGGCTAACTCCATGGAAAAGGTTTGCTCCTTATTGATGAAGATCTCCAATGGTGTCTCTAGTCTCCTTCTCCTCTAAACTTCCTCTCTAAGAGATGATATCAAAAATAATGTTGGCCCCCCTTGAAAAAGTAATCCTTATCCTTATATAGGTAGGTCAAAATGACACCCAAAATGAGCTGGGGTCGTGCACACACTATTCCCTAATGATTAGATAAAAGACAACTTTCAATGGGATGGGATTTTAATTTTTTCGCACTGGAGGAAGTTCGATCGATCGAAAGGAAGTGAGATCGATCAAAAGTAAGTGAGATCGATCGAAGTTAGGCTGGATCGATCCAACTGACTGAGCTTTTTGGAAAAAGACAAATCCGAGATATTTATGGGAAAAAGACAAAAGTGGTTAGTGGGTGGTACAGCTGTGGATAGGATCAATCATTTGAATAAGGACAAAATTGTTCGATCGATTGAAGGATGGTGTTGGATCGATCGAACTTTTGGAACTTTATGCTTTCGGGTTAAGGCTTAGATCTATTTTGAAGTGCTGAGATCAATCAATGTTCGATCGATTGAACCTTGAACTTGGATCGATCGAACTTTGCTGCTTGCCACCTTTGGTTTCATTTAATTCCTTCTTTCTCCACTTTGCTCTTTTATTTGATTAATCCCAGAATTGCTTCAATTAAGCTCTTATTTGGCTGAATTAGCTTATTTTTGGGATAAGTGCCTGAAAATGGAAATAATACGAAATCAATCTAAAACGATAAAGTAAGATAGATAAAGGTACTAGAATGCCTAAGCTTAAGGGGTTTAAATACGCACTTTTCAGTGCTCATCACTTATATATACCTACGAGTCATATAATTTCAAGAAGAAAAAAAAAAAAAAAAACTCATGTTATCTTCTTCTCTGCAAAAACCTTTTTTTATTTTCAGGGCAACATTGTAAGTGCATTATACTTCTTAAATAAATTATATATTTAGGTACCAATTCTTCTCTACCCTAAAAACTTTTTATGTCTCTTATTTTTTATATTTACTTCTGTATCACATTATTATTGAAATATTTTAGAGTTCCTTTTATGTATAACTTTTATTCAATATATGTAATTATTACATGAAAGAGTTCTTTACACTGCCAATAATAGTATTGTGTGGGTGTTCAATAAAGACGTAGTAGATTAAGACTTTCATGGACATGACAGAGTTAAAGTATTATATATAGGATTCATTTGATTTTTTTTGTATTATTTTTTGTGATAATATATCCATATTTTTATTAAGAATTAGAGTTAGAATCAAACATTAACACCTCTTTAAATTCTTGAAAAGATGCCTATTTAACTACCAACACTTTTTTGGGAAGAAAAAAACACCCATTCAATTAGGAGTTATGTCCAAATGAAACACCCATTCAATTATTATTATTATTATTATTATTTTTTATTTTAAATAAATTTATGAAAAGTTGTGTTAGAAAGGTGTTTGCAAGTCTAAGCATATATACGATTAAAATTATATAATTACCCTTTATAAATTCACACCTCTTTACTAAAATACCTTTTCATTACATGCATCTATAAATACCGAGAGTCATTTAATTGACATTTTTAAAACTCTTTGTGCTTCAAGGTTTTTCTCTCCTTCTACTTGCTCTCCCTATCAGGAAAAATATTTCAATAACCTGGGCTTTCCCACGAGCGTCCTAGACTTCTACATTCCTTTTGTCCCTTTTCATCTGTATTAAATATCTTTCTTACTTCGATAATGAAGACAGACAAAATGGAACATAGTTCAATGTGAATTAAGAGAGCAATATATATATATATATATATTTACAGGAGTGCCTAGGATGAGTCAATTTTGTCAACTGAAAAATAGAGTTTCGACCAAATTTAAGGATGTCATATTTTATAAGTATTGATTTTTTAAATTACTGTTTTTATTTTTCTTTTCAATTTCCTTTACTTGTGTTAGATTTGACTTGGTTTGAAGCACTTCAAAAAGATGCTTGAATCCTTAATACCGTACTAACAGAAGAATAGATAAGTGAAACTGATCTTTGTTGGTTGTATAAGGATGATTCTTTATTTTTTTTTTTATAAAATTCTATAAATCCTATAAATTATTTTGTATAAAGATAACAATAAAATTTTAATTTTTATATGACAAATTTCAAATTTACCATGTCAAAGTTGTATATATATATATATTTTTTATGCTAGACTAAGAGTTCTAATTACGTGCAATTGCATGTCTTTTTTATCTAGTATATATATATATATATATATATTATGAATGAGAGAGAGAAAGAGATCCTTGTAGTTGAAACTAACAAGAAGCAAAGCCAAAACGTTGAACTTTTTGAATTAGTTAAAATTGAGGTTTGGTGGACATTGAAGCTTGTGAATGGTTTTACTTCACTGAGATTAGTTTGAAATTTTCTGCTGGAGATCCTTCAAAGTACTAATATTTTTATTGTTAACTCATGAGACCATTTCCCCTTTTTCTTGAGTATTTATTTTGATAACCAACTTCTGAATATTTCATACAATCTCCAACCACAACCAGAATTGATAAATAGGAAGAAAGATTAAAAGCAAGCAATCAAGGAAGATCCCTCCCTTACAAGACTGAATAATAAATCACACCGACAAAAATAAAAAAAATAAAAAAAGAGGCATGCCATCAAACAACCTGCTAGAAAAATTATTGCTAGCCAAAATTATTGCCACCCAAACAAGTACTTGAAAATATTTTGTAGAATTTTAATCAATTATAAATAACACACCAAACCACAAGTTTTTTTTTTTTGTACATCACAAACTTAACAAATTATTGTTGCACCATTCACATATATACTTGCACATATAAGGAGCTAGACATTCCTTAAAAATAGTATGTGTGTACACACACACACTTCATTATACTTACATAAAATGTACACACAACTGGAAATAACTAAAATTCATTTCATAAAATGTATACACACATCTTTATACTTGCATAGGTCTCCATTTGATTAACTTAGAGATCACTAGCTTCCTGGAGTTGCAGCAATTGGAGAATGCTTCCTATAAATCCCACTGGTGCCACTGCCCACAACTTACTGCCATGTCCTTCAAAATATAAAGTAGAGTTAGGTTTTCCCATAGAAAGGCTGCATTCTACCAAGCCTTAAAACAACAAAGAGAACTATATTCAACTCCATGAAAATCAATAAAAAATTATCACTAATCATATGTTCAAAAAATTGTTATATATTTCACAGTTTTTCTACTGTTATATATTTCAAAAATCCATTTCAAATTTCAAAAATCAACCACATGCCTTTTTGGAATCAAAGTTTTAATTCATTTGTTTTTTTTTTTTTTGAAAATCCAGCATAGTTTCCCCCTAAAAATGGACATTTCCAAAATTTTAAAACACAATAAACACAAGGGATACCGCCCACAAAATTCATTCAATTAATTCAACAAGGGACACCGCTCACAAAACTAATCCATAAATTCAAGTAAAATTGCCCATTCTCCTTCTAAACTACTCCATCAACCACAAGATATATCTAACTTTTTTTTAGGCTAAGTTACAAATTTGGAATGTAAATGACCTCATGCAACACCAAACACATGAACAACATTAGAGAAAAACAAAAAAACACATGGTAGGAATGAAGTAATTAGAAGTAGTAAGCAAGATATATCTAACCTTTTTTCAGACTAAGTTGCAAATTTAGAGTGTAAATGACCTCATGTAAAATCAAACACATGATCAACATTAGAGAAAAACAAAATAACACATGGTAGGAATGAAGTAATTAGAAGTAGTAAGCAAGATATATCTAACATTTGTTCAGGCTAAGTTGTAAATTTAGAGTGTAAATGACCTCATGCAAAACTAAACACATAAACAACATTAGAGAAAAAGAAAATAACACATGGTAGGAATGAAGTAATTAGAAGTACTAAGTAAGATATATCCAATATTTTTTTAGGCTAAGTTACAAATTTGGAGTGTAAATGACCTCATGCAAAACCAAACACATTTATACCATTTAATACACAGTTGAAAGTATAGCATTTATAGTTCTCACCAGCAAGGTAATCCAAATACAGAAAATTAAGTATATATTACATACCAAATGAAATACAGGAAATTAACTAAATACATATTACATGTCATATATTACAAAAGATGGAAGTTTATCTAACTTTATCTTTCAATAACAACGATAATGAGTAAAAAGAAGATAATCACAAGAAACATGATTGTGATAGTAAGACATCCACAACCTAGGAAGAGCATGTACTTCTGTCAACATTGTTCATTTTGAATCATTGCAATAACTCTGTCCAAGTCAGATTGAACCTGTTCTTCAACTTGTGCACCTTGGTGCAACTCATCCACCGACATAAATGCATTCATATGTGACTACAAGAAATATAAATTATACAATTAGGAAACAGTAATAGAAATAACACCTAAAAGATTAAAGCCATACCTCCCGAGCTGGACACTTATAGAATTGTCGACCATCATTTTTTGAAGTTCGAGCCCTATACAAATACATAGGACCTCTATCACATGCACATTATGGTCGCTCACCTTCAATCCTATATATAATTTCGCCTACAAGTACTAAAACATTTAACATTTGATGTCTTAATATAATTAGTTATTATAGTTATCCATATTGTATGCATGTGAGTTTAATTTACGTAATATAATTAGTTATTACAGTTATCCATATTAAAATCTTACACATTATTACACACTATTATAATTAGTGATTACAGTGCTCCGAAATTAGGTTGGCAATACAATCACGATAAATATCCATCTGTCTCATCTGTGCATTATTAGCACTGACAACCTCAACAATGTCATCCACATCAGGTTCATTTTGTGAAGTAGAAGATTCAGGGGTTTCACAATAAAAAATTTCATCAGATTCACCTTGGGATCTTATGAAATTATGTAATGTACAACAGACAATGACGATAAGAACTTGAGTGTCAAAGTGATAAGGGGCCATTTGCTTCAATATAGTGAATCTTATCTTTACCAACCCAAAACATCGCTTTATGATATTCCTCAATGACGAGTGCCTAAAATTGTACACCTATTCTTTACCACATGGTCCTCTAGTATGTCCACGATATTCCTGCATGTGGTAACGTTGACCTTGAAAAGGGGCCAAAAACCCTGGTTGATTGGCGTACTCAGAGTCCACTAAATAAAACTTACCTGTCATGTTAAGTATTAAAATTAATGTATTTTTAATGTTAAATGCATAAATATGGAAAGGTCATTTTCTTACCTTAAAGTGGTGATGGAAAATTCAAATCCTCATTCTGAATGCACTCATTTAAAATCTTCGAATCATTAATGTATATGAATTTCATATCAAAAGAACACACGGCCATGACATTTTGGGTCATATCACCCTTTCTACCACGAAAGGGTATTTGTTGTCCAACTAGCACTACAACATGGATATAAGTACCATCTATGGCTCCTACACAATTCTTAAAGTATTGGTAAAACTTTGGATTGTTCTTTATCTGTTTAGGAATTTCATTCAAATCCGAGTGAGCAATAATCTTAGTCCCTAACTCACAAATTAACTTTAAGATAGCATGAAAGTGATATGAAATTATGGATGTAGAGTGTTGGAATCTTTCAGCAACGACACGATTCCTTTCATTGTGAAACACGGTAAGTAGGAAAATTGTAACTTGTTCTTCTACTGTTACAAATGTTGAATCTTTCAATCCTAACAATTTCAACTCACAACACAAAACCCTAAAGGTATTGGGGTACATCCGAAAATTTTCATAACACCTATCTTCATGTCCATTTAAAATCTCAAATACGTAATCTTCCCCTTGTAACATGGAATCCCTACAACGTTATTTATCAAAATGTTTATGATAGTACTCATATACGGCTGCGATCAATACAAGAATTTCCTCCTTATCATCATCACACATAGTTAATACTGTCGTTATATCCATATCTACTATCCTATTTAAGAATAAACAGAAGCAGTTATTATAATAAAAATTAAACAACTTCATGATATAAGGAAAATGAAAAAATATATATCAAATAATACAATTATTCATCAACAATACAAAAATGATAAAAAGACATACCAAATCATACAATTATCCAGCAATAATGTAAAAGCAATAGATATAGAACATAAATAGTCATCTAGCATTAATTTAAAAGCAATAGATAGAGGAATTAAATAAAATCTTCCAACAGTAATGTAAAAGTAGTAGATAAGAAAAATTAAATACAGTCATCCAACAGTAATGTAAAAGGAGTTATAAAACAGTCATCCAAAAGCATATAAAAGTAAGATAGCGAACATATCACAGAGGCTGATTCATCACCCACCCAACCTTCCTCTCATCAGGAATGCGAAGAAATATGTCCCTCCACACCTTGTCCTCACCAAACATCCTTATGATTTTAGCATAATGAGTATCATCAATCCCCACTAATATGTTGACGATCCTTAGGCACTCCTTAAGCTGGGGATCCATTTCTTTTTCTTTTTCTTTTTACTGGGAGATGTCACATTAGGCATTTCTTTAACACAAGATGGTTGACAATTAGAAGATGATTCTGCTATGGCTTTGGCAATTTTATTAGCTTTCGCGTTCCCAATATCAGTCAAACATGCCATCACTTTAGACATTGTGGAGGAAAAAATTTCTTTCTTAGATTTCTTAGCTACAGGTTTGGGAGTAGGACTGAGGTTAATAGGTTCTTCTACATTAGGTCATTCTACATCAGTCATGTCCGCATTGCCCTCCATGTTATGAATTGCAGCTTTATGTGTTGCCACTTGAGAAATTGTTAGTACTTGGTGAGGTTTGGGTGCTTTTGTAGAAGGATGAACATGCTGACCAGTAGCATGTGTATCCCTAAAAATCCTTACCATCTACTCATAATTCTTACATCTCTGTTTTTTATTTTTTTATTTTTCTGCCATACTTGAGAACCTACACGCTATTAGCTTACAATTATTGTTCACAAACCCTTTTAATACTAAATCACTAATTACTAACTACATGTATGGTAAATAGACATGTATTGAAATACTAACCTTGCACAATCGAACCCATCTTTCAGCTTCCAACTCAATCATCCCAGTTTCACTGTTGTACCCTACACCAGTCTCAGATAATATTTGTTTGCAATCTTTGTACAGTGCTCTTATTGTGTTGAATTTTTGCTTACATTGGTCCTTCGTGTACTTCTTTCCAGTTTCCACCAACATTGCGTCCACAATATGTGTTCACCCAATTGGATTAAAAGTCGTGCCTGTACGATTTCCTTTTCCTACCTCTTCCTCCATCAAGAGCATGAATTTCTTTTGATGGGCATCACACCAAACAGTGGCATCCGCCTGTTCAATAACTATAACGTCCTCACCATTCTCGCCATCAAGAGAATAAATGTCTCTTGATGGGTATTGCTCAACATTGTCATTGTTCATGTCCATCTGATTATTATTAAGTAAATTTAATAGTTTAGTAAATTGTTTAGATAATAATAATTTTAAACTGATAATTCAATGGTACTACAATATATAAGAATTAAAAATATAAATTAAAAATTAAAAAATAATTCAGTCCTATTATTAATAGCCACATTGGGAGCTCAGTTTTAGTATTATTGTTGGACAAGCTGATTTATTTATAAAAAAATTAGTGGTAGCCGGAATCGGAGTTGAATTTAATTGATTTTTGGTAGTTATAGCTTATTTTAGTGATTTGGTTCTTACTCTCATTTCTTTCATGAGACAGTGTCAAATTTAGTTGTTTTAAGGATTTTTTACTGGTGTATGGATGTAGTGTAAACTAATTTACAGAGATTTTAATGATATTTTAGTTTTATGTACATTTTGTGATTCTTTTAACATAATTTTTAATTGAGTATTGATAGAAAATCTGATCTTCGGACAAATAATTGTCTATGAGTAGGAATTAAAGTCATTATAAAATTAAAGATATTAAAAACATCATGATAACATTCGATCTCATTCACGTAAATCAATTAAAATTATCGGACTGTAAATCATTTTCCTTCTCAATTTTATCTCCTCTTCGGTTTGCTTCTAGCCATTAGACTTACAACAGAATTCTTTCTTCCCCAAGTGCCATCTCAATCTTTGGTATAATACTAAATAAACACTGATCCAAAATACTATGGGAGCAAAAAAAATTACTGTACAATGTAATTTCTATGAAGATGGTAGATATGTAAATTCTTAAGGTTATATCATTTTATTTTATTTACGTACCCTGTTTTTAAGTTGGAGTGTTCGGGAAACAATAATAACATAAATTAATAAATAAAAAATTGATTATTAAATTCTTTATTAATTTTCAAAGTGCTTCCCAACTTTCCTAGTTCACAGATGAGACATTACAATAGAATTTGTTTCTGGAATTCCAAAAGTAAACTGAAATCAACAAAAAAAAAATATTGAAACTTAACAAAAAACTGAAATCGACAAAAAAAAAAATTGAAACTTAACAAAAAACTGAAATCGACATGAACTAAAAGTAACATCGACTAAACAAATCATATTTTGGTTATGAAATTTTACACCAGTGTACTCCTATGAAGGATTCATCCATTAATACCAGATAATCTATACTAAATACACCAACTCAAAATGTCTATGTGTGTGCGTGGGTGGGTGTGTGTGTATATATATATATATATCTATAGCATGAATGATATCACAGAAAATCACAGAATGATATAGCATGAATGATATCACAGATTTGAATTTTGGTTCACGAAAAGGGTTTATGACCAATATATCACAGAAAATCTATACTAATAAATACATCAACTCAAAATCATCGAGCTAGGATTTCATAGAATAGAGAAATACCTTCGAATGTTGTCCACCGAGATAGGGTTTTAGAGAATAGAGAGAAACGATAGGAAAGCCGAGCCCGAGATAAAATTGGTCTTTCTTTTTGAAAGATTTGCAAACAAAAACGTTTGATCTGTGGTCAACCAACCCGGATCTGCGAGAATAGAAAGAGATGAGAGGTGCAAATGAAATCCCCTCAACCGACCTGCAAGAAGACAGATAAATGAGAAGCGAAAATAGAAGGAGGTAGCTGGTGGAGGAGCTCTGCCAGATCGGTGGTGGAAGAGGTTGTGTATGAAGTCGAAAGACAGTTGGATCGCCATTGAAATTGCCTCCAAGGAGCTACGCGAAGAGAGAGAAACAACGCTGAAAAATGCCCTAAAATCTGATATGCGACCTTATATACATGATATCACCGCTACAGTAAAAATGAGGGTTGGTTTGGTTTTGTTTTGGGCTGATATTATCGCTACACTGCCATATCAGTCAAATATCACCAAATTATTGATATGAGTTTTGACCCAAATCTGGTAATATTCAATATCACGTCAGCCCACTACAAATATGATATTAGCCCAAATAACAAAACCAAAACGTCAAAACAATATAGATATGGGCTTCCAAACAGGCCTCAGAATTTTCAGACAACCAGCATATACATAGACTTCAGCCCCACCTTCCAATATTCATACAATGACTTGTATTCTGATTTTCAAAGTTCCCTTTGCTGTTCTAACATTGACAACTCAACACGACAATAATGAGGTCTAGCACTAGGACTCTACACATTAATGGTCTGATGTATACAACACATGATTTATTCAACATTTCGCCTACAAAGTCCTCTTCACTGAACGAACAATTGACAACTCGAGCATGGACTTTTAACGGCCATCATTCATTGTAGACTTTTTATTTTTCATTTCAACATTTTAACTCGCCTTCGTTTAAGCTTTTCCGGTTGTCAATGGAGCACACACTGTTGGTGTATATATATGTATACATATTCAGGCCATAGATACAACAAATTCAAACTTGTTTCACCGCGGAACACTTTGCCGTTGCCATCCGCCGTTCTGTTCATCCATGTTCCCTGCCAATTCTGTTACTTTTATTTTTGTTCGCCGGTTCTGTCCATCCGCGCTTCTCGCCGTTCAGACCTTCATCATCGGCGTCTTCCTTGCTTCTCTTCGACGACCTCACCGCAGTTCAGTTTCTTCTTCATGCTCACTAGTCTTTAATGGAGTTCTTTGTCGGTGTCTCTCTTTCCGATCAAGGCGAGCTCACTAATTGAGTACCGAAGCTCTCTTTTGGGTCTAGCTCACTAATAGAGTATCGACCCCAGACCCATCTTTCTTTGCTCGCCGAACAGTCCTGCCGCCCTCTTCACCGCCGTTCAGTCGCTTCATCACTGTCACTGGTCAGTTCAATCTCATCGTTCGGCTTGCCGTTTCTCGTCGTTTGTTGCCGGTAAAACAGCTTCGAGACCGGCGAGGGCGGGCTACGGTCGGGGCTTGACGAGAAAGTGTTGATGCATCAGGTGTTATGGGTTTGTTGATATGAAGCCACCATTGTCCTTTTGGGTTTGGGAATTGGACTGCCATTTAGATTCTGCCTATAAGATCGGTCTAAATTGTATCACGACCCATTTTTTTATTGCGTGGATTGACTCGATGCGTGTTGAAATGTGGCATGGGTCAATGAATTTTTTCCACCATTCAAACCAAGCACTTACGTTTCAATTCCCATTAACAAATTTTTATTTTTTATTTTTAACATGAAACCACGTTTATTATTACAAAGTAAAGGTGAAAGAAAATTTAAGCTATGGAATGAGAGATATATTTAAAAATCTTGGGACTCGAGGACCTGCTGTTTGATGTACACATAAGCTCTATTAACACAAATTTGAATTAAGAAAACAATCTTTTGGTGGAATCTAACATAATATCTAAGTTTATTTACCTTTAATTATGTCCATTAAAATGCACAGGGAGAACTGGTTCTTAGAGGTTCTTGTTCCACATCAAATTAGAAAATTAGAATAGAGAAGGTTATGAACTTACATGGGTGAGTGTATGGCATTACCTTGCAGTTTATATTTTTGAATCATATGGCAAGCACATGAGGTGTTCGACTCATGACACTAATACTCCTTGGAATAGCTTGATTTTTTTTTTTTTTTTTTTTTTTTTTTTTTTTTTTTTTTTTTTTGCTCTATTGACAAGAAAATCACTCTCACACCCTTCTAAACTTTGTGCAGCCTTTGGAAATGGCATAGTGTAACAGGTGGGCGGTTGTCTATTTTCTCAAAATGTTAAACTATTAGGTATGTTGCATACTCACCTATTTCACTTCTCATCCGGATCCGATGTAGGACAAGTACCTCTCTAACATTCTCCCTTACCCAAACTCGTAACGTCCTCGTTGCGATTGGACCACCTTACCTACCTTAGTGGGCTCACCCGAACGCTTGACATAATACCGAATTAAGGATTGGGTCTGGCCCTGATATTAACTGTAACGGGTGGAAACTTACCCATTTATCCAAAAACTTAAATTATTAGGTACTACTGTATATCCAACTATTTATATTCATTTCAATTTTCATCTGGATTCGATTTGGGACAAGTACCCTTTGTAACACATAGTTTAGAGTTAAAATATCCATGTATATAAAAATTTATAAAAACATTATCTAAATCATTAGTATTTGAGAGGACCCTATTTCCTATTATGTTTTGGAGTGGTTTCAAGGGCTATAAAAATAGGGTTTTCTTCAAAACCAGAGGAAGAGAAGATGGGTATTGATAGTATAGTTTAGAGACTTTCTTTAGAGTTAAAGAGGAGTTTTGAAAGACAAGATCAAGTAAGAGAACATGAAGACGGAGGTTTCCACATCCATGAAGTCTTCTTCCTTCTCCATGAGCGGCTAAACTCTTTCTAAGGGATTGATGTAACCTTAATCTTAACTCCAATGGTTTAGTTATTTATTTTATTGGGATTATTTATTGTATGATGATTGCATGATTAAGGGCAAAACAATAGTTGTACCTTGATTTTGGAATTTAATACTTAAATTCAATTATATTTGATATCTTATATTTTTTTAGGAAGAAGGATTTACAATTAATCTCAACCTCTCTATTTTCTGTGATTATAGGGTAGGTTTATCATGCAATGGTGCTTAATGATCATATGTTTAGGGGTTTAACATGTCATGTTAAGGGAAGATGGGTCATACTACATACTTAGTTTAATGTAGTAATTAGGTAAACGATCCAAGTTAACCGAACCGAATATAGATTCTGCTTGGCCCTAGATATATGAGTTCTTTTTTATAAATTATGTTATGTGCTTGTAGCCATACATCTTCTGATCATACAAAATATCCTAATAATATGTTTAATTGACCATTGGAGGGCGGACTAGTGGTGAAGTCAATATCTTAGACTCTCTATCTCTTTATCTCTCCAATTACTTAGTTTAAGTTAGATTTAAATAATTAATTAAATTAAAATTTAAAACTTCTCTTTTGAATTAAATTAAAAATAATCATAATATCTTGACAGCATAATTGCCGCAGTCTTTGAGGTTCAACACCTTCAATATAGTCCTATCTTGTAAGGGTTCGTACTATTACGAGTGGTTTATTATTGAATAAAACACTTATCAGGTAACTCCTTGTAGTCAAGTTATGAAATTATTGTCCAACAAGGAATTGGGTTTTGAAGACTTTATAAATTGAGTTGAGTTTGGGTAGAGAGATAGAGAGAGAGAGATATAATTGTAGAGAGAAAAAAAGTGAGTTGGGCTTGTGAGAAGAGAAAGAGTGTATAATCAAAATTGAAGTAAAGATAATTGTTTTTCGCTCATGGACTTGGGCAATTTACCAAACCACGTAAATCTCATTTTGCTTGTGTGTGCTTTTATCTGCTCTATTTACCGTGTGTGTGAAATCCTAACAAGGACTACGTATAAGTTTGGGTAAAATAGAAAAGTCAAAAGTTACCAAAATCTGATTTTTCGCGCTTCTTGCAAAAGCAACCAGTTCGACTTCAAAGTATAACCGATTTGACTTCAAAGTGCAACCGGTGCCACATTGTAGGTGCAAAATTTCGCCCAACCAATTACGATCGAGAGAAAATAATACCACACACTCAACAAACAATCAGAATAAACAAAAACAGTGTCTATTGAAGAATTGAATTGCTTGCCCCTTTATTGGAGGTCTAGGCCTCTATTTATACACAAAAGTTGGTAAAATTATGGTAGGACTCGCGTTGCTTGTCCTCCAATTCTTCCCTTACATGAATTTCTTTACAAATAGAGTTCTTTCCAATGTATGGTATTTCCTACGCAGGACTTGCTTTGTATAAAGACTTTCCCTCTGGGTTGATTCCTTTGCTTAATAGGATTGAGCCATATTTTGTTATACTTGGGCCGGATGTGGTTTGGTGTAAGTGATTTGACTAATGGACCAAAACTCCAACAGTGGTGATGTTGGGCTGATCGGTACTCTTGCTTGGCTTTAGAGGCCCAACATAAATGATAATGGGTTAAAGCACAGCGTAACTTGGGCTTGATCCGGATGGGCTTCTGAGATCTCCTAAATGCAGATTTGTAGAATAGTGACGTGTTTCATTCTTATTGGAGGGAAATTTCTCCCTCCACACTTTGCCCCCAATTCCACTTTAATTGGGTTACGGCTCCTAATTAAAGGGGAATTGAAGTCGTGTAGTTGCCATTCTTGCACGAGGCGTTTCCATTCGCGTCTATTGTTATTCTGACTCAAGGGTTTCTTCAAGACTCACTTTCGTTCTCAGTGTGCTCTCGTTCTGTCTACTGCGTTCTTCATACTCTTCATATCTCCAAGTTAGTTTTTCTTTCCCTTCTTCCAATCTTACATTATGAGTACTTCGACTACTCCTGAGCTTATAGAGATCGTAGATTTTGAGTCCACACCATCGTCTTCCCCTAATCTCATTAGGGTTCCCCCTCCTAGGGTTTCGAACTTCCCTAAACCTGCAAATGACTCGGTTAATCAGCCAGATGCTTCCACGATCCAGGCTGAAACATCCACCTCTGGTTCAGACAATATCTTCACTAAGGAAGAAAGGAATGCAATTTTATCTATTCGTCGCATCCCGTTCTCCATTGAATTCGTAATGGAAGAATTCAAGATTCCCGAGGGGGTAGAAATTGTAGAATACCCCAAAGGGGCTGATTTTTGCGCCGGCGAGGGCGTCGGAGAAGACGGGTTGCTCCTCTCTGTTGGGCATCTCAACGCTCTTAGGTTTCCCCTTCATCCTTTCTATCACCTAGTCTTCAACAAATTGGGGATCACACCCCTGCAAGTAAACCCTAACTTCCTTCGAGTAATCTCGGCACTCCTCATTCGCCGATGGCAAGAGAGTCTTAACCTAACTCTGGCTGACTTGCTGATTACTTATTCCATTTCTAAGCATGGAACCGAACCTGGTCGTTTTTTTTTCACTTCCCCCTTGCACCAAAGGATATGTATAGACCTCCCTACTTCTGAGAAGAAGTGTATGATACCCCTCATTTCTAAAGCCACGGGTGATCAAGTCCGAGCACAGATCCGAGGGATACCAAACAATCAATATGTAAACAAGCAGGAATAAAACTAAAATAAGAATAAATTAATAATACGCTGAAAGAAAACTAAAATAAGAATCCTTAAACTTAAAATAATAAATCCATATAATTTAAAACTGTACAACTCGGGAATCCACCTAGTGGACCCCTAATCCCAAATCCTTGAATAAAATTACAATATTAAAATCTAAAACCAAAATAGAAAGGAAATCCTATGTAACCGGAAGAGTGAGTGTCTGTATCTACATCAACACGATCAATCTCCAAGCCTGGTATTGGCGAATACCTGAAAAATAGGAGTGGGTTAGGCCCACATGCAAGTTCCAATTTACTACAATCCGTACATAAACCCAATACGCAGATACATCCTAGATAGCTCGGCAATATCTACAATAGTCCATATATATATATACACACTATAGGATGCTCACTAGCCTATAACATAGTTCAACCTGGGTAGATGGTGACATATAAAACGCATTTTTCAGCGGCCAAGTACCTAGACCTACCAGGGAACATTAGCTATATCTACCTACTCAACCTTTGCAATATACGCACCCTAACCGTGATTAGGAGACTCAAGCTCGTATCACGGTACCATAAATATATATATAAATTCCTTCCTAATGCAGAAAGATAAAACAAATATCCGTTGTGTCGTTCAACTGTTTTAGTTGACAGGACATGTATCCATGTAGGAGTTAACTATTTTAGTTAATCCATTCCGTATGTATGAAGGGGTAGGACTTAGCTTTTTGATCTAATCCATCCTTGATATGTCACCGTCCCATACCAGTACATATAATGCAAATGATCCACAAATGATGCACATTCATTAGAACATCAAACATATCCAGAAACTAGCATAATAGAAATCAGATATTATTAAGATCCTATCATGCATCCAGTATATGATTAAACCATAAATCCTTCCTTTAAATTGTTAAAGTAATGATGAACAACTTAAATTATCCAATTCCATACAATTGATCGAACATAAATTTTAACAGTTCATCAATTAACATCCATAGCACAATATAATGACAAATAG